TTTTTGTCTTTTTGGCATCCAGGCTTCTTTTATTTGTTGTGTGTTTGTGGGTCATGTATCACTGGATAGTGTGTATATGGATGGTGTATCTATGGATGGTGTGTCTATAGATAGTGTGTGTATGGATGGTGCATCTTTTGGTATCTCCATTGATGTGCCTACTGATTCGATGCTGGTCATTGCCTCTTGTGATTCCATATTACACTCCATGCTACTGTAGGTGCTGTAAAATAATATCCTTGTACACTCATGTTCTCCCCCGCTTTATTACTCTATTCCTTTCACTCGTTTCAGACATTCTTAGAAGACATTCAGTCACGTCCATCCAAATTCTTTGGTGGTCACGCACCCTTCGTTCACACCACGATCTCAAGCAGTCCGTTCCAAACACTTTTCTTTTACACCTCTAACATTCTAGACTTTGTTCGCACTTCACGCGAAACTTCCATTCCCATAGTATTTATATTATATAAAAGCCTTTGGGCATTACACATATTGCTCTGTGAATGTTTCTTTTTTGTCTCCTAAAAATATGCAAAGAATGCATTTTCCATTTCTTAGCACATTACAAATAATTGAAAAATTTTACTTTTATTAGATGGCCTTTCGTATGGTTTTCGCAGCGTTGAAACGATGAAATTTCTTTAATCATCGAAGTAGTCACCACTGTATTCGATAACCTTTTCCCAATGCGATACAAGTGTGTATATTTCGTTTTTATAAAAGTTTGTATCTTTTGATCAAAAAAAATTGTAGCAGTATTGATATTACATCGTTTAAAATAGGCGATAAACGGACAGTGAAAGGTCTGAAGAATATGGAGGATATTCTAGTTAAGTTCTGGAATTGTTTTTACAGTGGTTTTTGCTGTATGTGGTCTCGCGTTGTTTTACAAAAATACGACGCCCTTACAGTTTATCAGTGTCGGCTGATATTTTTTTAAGTTGTGATGAACATACAAATGCTGTTGTCATTTGACCTTTGTGGTAAAAGTTAAATTATCATCATTAATAATACTGGGACTACCTCTTCACAGATCATCCTCAAATCTCTCATCCCCTATTTTTAATTTTTCGAACTACTTTTGAGCAGTATTTTAGCAACAGTCAGTTTCGAACTTTGCACCAAAAACGATATGTGAACATTTTATACTAACTGATACATTATGAATTTTTCTATGCGTAAAAGTAATAAAAAGTAATAAAACATTTAGACACCAATTGTGTAAATAACCGGATCGAAAAAAACTGCACGAACTTTCTGGGCCACTTAATAATAAAACGATGGAATACATCTTATGGATTTTATGTAAATACGACCCAATTTTGTTTCAGATTGAAATTTTATGGTTGGCCTTAGAATGAAATTAGACCGAATATGATGTCGTCGAAGTACTTTATCGTTGCTATATCTTTAATATATGGTGAGTATTCATTATACTTTATATTATTATATTGTTTATAATGTTGGCAGAATAGTAATTGTAAATAAAAGTATGTGCTAAAATACATTAAAATACATAATTTAATGTATTAACCCCTTAACCTATAACAACGTGTCAGACTCGTGGCAGAGATTCTGGTCAGAATGTGAGAAAAATAGTTATACCAGTAAGAAAAATTAATTGCAATCCTAACTTTCGTTTTAACTTGCAAAACTGAGGATTACTAAATGTAATTAATCTGTAACAGATTAGTTTTTCTTACCTGACACAGTACTAAAACAATAAATGGCTGACGCTTAAATGCATAGTCAGAAAAGAAATCATAGGTTAAGGGGTTAAGAATGTAATAAAAGTAGTGTCAATTGTAATACCTACTTCTTTATCATACTATAAATTATAATGTTATTAATATCTAAATATTTATTAGAAAGTTAACGTTATTCCAACATTGTTGTAAAAGCAAGAATAAGAATTCTCGCTAGGACAATCGAAGTACATAAGAAAATATGAACTAGTCTTAAAATGCAAAGTTTTATTTTCTATGACGCGCTGTCGTGAACGTAGCGATAAAGAATGACTCACAGTTCTAACCAAAATTGTCCGTTGGTTAACTTGTTCGTAATGCATGAGAAAACCTCTCGAGTACCCCTGCTCTCTTCCAGTTAGACTCCGCTTGACAATAAACAGACAGCCGTTGAGCCGCTTTTTCGGAGAATATCGGGAGTTTCACACTTTCTTACAATTTATTATTGAGTAACGTTTCATTTACCACCTTTACTATACACTAACGAGAGTGTGAATTATCTTGAATTAGGTATATTTTGTAGAAAAATAATGTTCTACAACACTACGATTGCGCGGTATAAGCGTCGTTTGTCACAGCATATGTCCGATAGTCTCGTACAAAGTGAGGATGCGTTGTCCTGCCCGATTTCTACACGCTGTCCGCGTGAAGTTAACCTGAGAAAACCCCAGGAGCGAGTCACCCTCACGCGTGAGAGCTGGGCCTGATCTTATTGTTATGTGGCTTATTTCACAGTCTTCAGAACGGATTTTCTGACAAGCTGTTGACGGCAATGACTACTAATTGGGGTCCACCCACCCTCCTCCTCCTTGTCACCAAATTTCGTGTCGATTGGCGACCGGAGCCTTTCGGAATTTTATCCTTAACTTTAGATGTAACAGTTTTAAATGCTCTGGAATTTTCAGATTGATAAATTAAAAGAAGCTCTAATTTGCAATCTCCAGCAGAATTTCCACCAAGCATTGTGGAAGTTCGATCTTTTGATACTCTAAATCAGAACCATTCATGAAATTGCTCTATGTGAAGTTGTTCGGTACCGAACGTAACAATGGACACTTCCCCAACAAACATGAAAACTTTACTTTTGACACGGACGATCGGTCCAAGCTATTTTTGAGTGCCTCCCTTTTTTTCTAATCGCTTTATTAACATCTTTCTCGAGGCCCAGAATGTGTTTATGGTTATTGAACCGCTACGTTTTGCGAGCCACGCGCCCTTCTGGTACTCATCAGTTTCCTTCAATAGCTAATGACGTGCCGTAAAGCCACACTCACACAAACATGCGAATTCAAAGTCCCGTTAGGACCAATTGCCTCGTGGGTCCGACTCCCCGGTCGCGATCATGACCCACTCCACCATCTCGGAAATTCTGGAGTGGGTGGAATGCTCGTGGCTCGGGGAGGACGACCCTTGAAATCGGAAGTTAAGGATTGGTCCTACTTCGATACACTCCAACTACACTTTTCAATATAAAGGCCACGTTTCCAAAAAACAAGACAGTTACCTATTTTCAATCTAACACCGACACACACCGACCACTTTGAATTATTTGTTAAATAAGGTTTACTGTTGAATATATTTATAAACCAAGTGCATCTTCATTCAATCGATAATCCTTTGCCTCATTAATTTGAAACAATTTCTCACGTGTAAGATTTATCGCGTGCTGGAAGCAGTACTCTACTCCTACTTGAACAACGATACTGTGGTAAGACACTGTATGAATGTAGTAGTGATTATCCGGCTTAAGAGCAAGAAATATGCTTCGAAGATAAGCACATGTTGAAGAAAGGAACCGATGACACAAAAGGCCTCACAAACATGCCAACGTATGCCTACGTACGAGTTTACACTCCCACTACTAGCGTTCCTTCTCATTTCATTCACGACTGTCGACGTCACTTGCTCTTCACTTGCTGATGAGCAACGGGGAGTGCTCTTGTTTGTAAAACGTCTGCGTGCGACGCTATGCATCAACTTAAATCGTGAAAATTTATTTTTCTCTCGAGTAAGAAAGTCTTCTTAGGTAACTTTTTCCAAAATATAGTAAAGACTCGATAAGAGTTCAAAATTCGGGTCCGATGTGGAACAGTTACGGGATAGATACATACTAGATTCTTCAAACTGTTTGTATTTTACCGACACCGACGGACGCAAAAAGAGACAGCGGACAAAGAAGAGAGATATTGAAAGTTGAGACAGTCGTAAAAAATTAAATGCCTACATATGGGTAAGACAACACTAATACAAAAGAGAAACTTTATTATTTTTTGTGTTTTGTTGATAAAATTTTTACTAACATATCCACTATATTTTTCTGATTAAAATGAGACCAAATACGGTATAATTCAGTTTACATTTAGTTACTCAATAAGAAATTCCACACATGCATATCTATACATAATCCGACAAACCTAAAGTGAAGCCTCTGACGTCACAACCTAGCAAAATGGAGGCAAAATAGGCGGTTCAGGTCATTCCCACTACTCTTAGGTCTTACACTGCAGGCGCTTGAGGGGAAGTTGCGTTGTAGGTAAATGGTTTAGACAAACGAATTTAAGTCAGCTGTCGATAATGTAACACGCTGATAAAAGAACCTACGTTGGCGCGTAAGACATATTTAATAGCGCAGACGTTAATTTCTAAGCGACTCATACACAATAAATTGTTATTGTAAAGGAAGCCTCAGGAAATGTATTAGTATGTTTTAACAGTTAGAAAACTAATATGTAAACATTTTTTTCCTATTCCTGAATAATAAAAGTAGATTTCGGCGCATTAAAAAATTGCTTAAGGAGCTAAAAAATTTCCTGTGCCACCACAGACCGACAGGCACTTTTTACAGCCAATAAAAGCCATCAAACAGCCACTATTTGATGTTAAAATTTTGAAAAATTTGACAAAATCAGACATGTCGTCACTTTAACCGTAATATTTCGGTTTTGTTTAAAGATAATATTTCGACCAAGTTTCATAGCAATAAAGATAACAATAATCGCTGCTAAAGTTTCAATTGCTAATTTGACACTGTTCCCACTCATAGAATAATTTTGAAAAAATACCATTGGATTGCTTGAATTTTAACCTGTAAAATAAGCTTATCGAAATAATAAACAAATTTTGGGAACATGGGATAAAAAAATAAAGTTTACCATGATGCACGTCGTTTGGCGTCGCGCAGACATCTGTTCGCCTGTTTATGGTGCCTGCGCGACGTAAACTTAATTTTTTTTCGAGCGCTTGAAAATATCATTCCAGTCAATTATCGACTGCTCATCTGTTTACCGACTGCTCGAACGAGACCCGATCATCATCTATTGTTCATAGAAGAGTAACTGCGATAGCTTATTCTATCCCTATTGGCTTACTAACAGCGAGCCGTCGCAAGTTCCCCTACATCTCCTACTTGTATGTACCTTTTTTTTTTTTTTTTACCTGGGGGAAATCCTCATGGACACCCTGACATCTCCTGAGGGGGGGGATGTCGGTGTAGTGCCGGACTCTTACCGGCTAAAACTCCCACGGCTACCCTCATCGGGCACACGGGGAGGCCTCGAGTACAGTTTCCTGTTTTTCCGGGCGCCTTCCCGCGTCTGTGCCTTTCGACCCGACCGAAGGGAGGAGCATTTATCGGCCCCTCCCTTGTACTCCTAAACTGCGCCGGAGCAGGGGAGTAGCGCCCCGCTCAGGCCCACCTCGGGGGGATCGCGTGCAAGTTCGCTGGGCGTCGGGGGTGCAGCCTGCGCTCATCCTTGTCTGGGGCCCCCTGCGCTCATCCTTGTCTAGGGCCCACTGCTCTCATCCTGGTTTAAGGCCCCTTGCGCTCATCCTTGTATAGGGCCCCCTGCGCTCATCCTTGTCTAGGGCCCCCTGCGCCCATCCTTGTCTAGGACCACCTGCACTCATCTTTGTCTAGGGCCACCTGCACTCATCATTGTCTAGGGCCTCCTGCGCTCATCTTTGTCTAGGGCCCCTTGCGGCTCGGGTCCCGCGGTCGTTCCAGCATGGCCTTGCCCAACGTTGGAGGGGAGAGATCCTCCCCGATAGACGCCCGGAGAACACGCCTCCAGGCCTCAAATGGACACACCACCAGTGCGCTGCAGTGGTGACACTGCGTTGTCGCCTTCTTCCTGATGCGACATAGGTACTCACCGAAACACCCATGTACGGTGAGCACTTGCTTCGCATGGTATGTGAGTCCGTCGCAAGTCCCGCCCATCCACTTCTCTAAGACGGGCAGGACCGCCCCGACGGCGCGCTGACTGGCGCTTGCAGGCTTAGAGAGTCGCGAACGCCATTTCGCCAGCGTGGCCTGTCAGGCTTGGTGCCTTGAGGTCCTCTTCACAGCTCTGACGGAGCCAGTCCATCCCTCCAGAGGTCTTGGACGCACCGGTACACGGTCCACCCCCGCCAGGAGTCCATCGCCGCCGCATAGGAGATGGTGCGGTATCCCCTGACGCACCTGACGGCCAGCCTTCTGTCGCCCTCCCATATTGGGGACCTATAAAGAGTCATGGACCCCCACATACAGGCGGTGTACCCTCCCTCTTGGTCCCCCGAGGTTAGGCAGTAACCGCCCTAGGGCGGCCGCTGCTTTCTCCACTCGGGGAACCAGGCGATCAAAGTGGGGTCCCAAAGCGCCGGTGGCTGTCGAGGGTGAGGCCCAGATAATTCATTCTGTGCCCCACGCTGACATGCACCTCACCTACCTACATCCAGGACCGGGGCGGTTCCGCCCGCCGAGGCCTGTAAAACCACATGGCCTCGGTCTTACAGGGAGCAACTGCTAGAGTATGTACCTACCCAATATGGAATACGTTGAGTGTACGTAATATTGAACATGTTCCATATTAATATTATATAGTATTATATTATATTTTTACCATTATAAGTACATTATATTATTGTTCTGCAATATATTACATAGCTTTAGGTTATTATTACTATTATTGTTTATATAATAAATGAAAGTTGTAGTACCAAACATTAAAAGACAACCTTGGGACAAGCTTCTAGAAAAATGAAACATATTTGTTTATTTGTCTTTTTTATTTATATAAATATTCATTTTTCATGGTAAAAATAAAGTTTTTTGAGATTTCTTTGCAAATTTCCTTGGTGTTCCACTTTTTCAATTTGCAGCGTTTGACTTTTTTTACATTTTTACCATAACTTCAAGACATTTAAACTTATGCATAGTTAACTATTTACATACGAATATCTATTAATTATGTTGTGTTTTAACATTAGTTTTATTAAAACAAGAGTATGTGTGTATATCTGACAAGCTTTTAAAATCAGGTGTTCCATATTAGGTACAGTTACCCTACTGGTTTGCAACCACGTAGATACAGTTTAACTACTTCACAAAAAATTCAACGAAACTTAAATTTAAAAATGAAAAATAATTATAGATACTTTCGAAAATTAGAAGATTCAAATAAAAGTTTGGAAGTGACGTGGTGTAAAATAATTACTCGCGAAAGTTGCTTAACAAAAATCTATTTATTTATTTAACCGATAACGCTTAAACAATTTTAAAATATATAGACGACACGATGCACGTAGAAAGAGAGTCTACGACAAAAAACCTCGTGCCTTTTTCGGGGCTCCCTTAAGTAGCCCCTTTTCCCTGGGAAAGTCCCAAAAAATGGTGGCGCGGGCCTGCATTGCCGAGGCAATACTCTTGTCCCCGAAAACAAAGAAACTCGGAGATGTTTGGAAAAACATCTCTCGATTCTTCGCCTCGAGGGCCAAGAGTCGCCAGGCCTAAGAGCGTGGCCCCTCCGTGGCAGTCGCCACAAAAGTATTGTATATTTTTAATTCATCAATATACGTTAATAATTGATAATATCAGAGCATTGTGAAATTTTTTCTCATTTTTATAAAATACCAGGATTACATATCTTTTTGTTACGTACCTGGTAACGTAACACAGTGCATGCAACTGTTATACTTTAGGACAATTCTTCAAGCAATCAATCACTGTTAAGTAATATTTTATTTTCAGTTACAGAATGTATGGCTCAAGTTTACGAGAGTCACTCAGCTGAGACTGGTCCAGTAATCAAACCGGCGGTTGTAAAACATGATTTTATTACACAAACTGTATACGGGTTTTTGGATTTCACGACTACTATAGGAAATACGGTGATGGTGTTCAGCCCACAAAGCGCACCGCCAGGTATGATTTTGTATTTCTTTACTAGTTATCACGTTATTAGTTCTATGCTATCATATTATTTAAAAAGAGTACATGCTATGAAATACAATATGTCATAAATTTTTAAATACAAATTTTAAATATCCCCAGTCGCGTTACATATTAAAATCACAATTAGTATTAATCCTTATAAAATCATAAATCGATAACGAAGCAAACAGAATTTTTAACAAAACTGAACACGACTGATGTCTTGCACACTGTAATTTTCTTCTTCTGTGCATAGTTTTAAAAATGTAGAAATCATTAATAAGCGAAAAATATTCATGAAAATATCATTACAAAATTCCTATAACTAAAAAGGATATTCTTCACAAGTTAAAATTCGGAAGTGATTTCTGATAGACCTAGTACAATATACATACATTACGTAATGCTATAGCTAATGCATATAGCTAAGTTTCTTTTTGTCATTTTATTGTCCCTCTCTAATCGTGAGTGCAGGAACATGTATTTGTTTGCATATCGTCCTACAATTTTTAATTTGAGTTTAAATAGCTTGCCTAGTTATTCGAAACCTGGCTTTATGCATTAGCAAAGTGTATAAAGTAAGGATAAACGTGGAGCTAATAACGAGTCCTTTATATGTGTAATCATAAATCTATCACTATACACAAATTTACTCTACAATTATTTAACATGAGAATGGTTTTATAAACTAATACATGCATCAATTTATTGAGATATATATAAAGAAGTATTCAAGCGATAGTAAATCTTACAATTAGTGAATATTGTTCTAAACCCATAATAATTTATTCTAAGGACAATAAAAGATTGTTTTAAAAAGATTAGGATATTTTATAACTCTTTTATAATAAAAATATAAAAATGAAGCAAAATTTATTTATAATTTGTTAGAAAATTTTTTATTTTAA